GGGGGGGGGGGGGGGGGGGGGGGGGGGGGGGGGGGGGGGGGGGGGGGGGGGGGGGGGGGGGGGGGGGGGGGGGGGGGGTCGTGATATCATTTGAGGCTAGCCTCCGTGAATTTACCACGGACAACTCAAACAACATGTTGCTATGCTTGCCATCTATACTTGACTTACACGTTTAAACGCACGCCCTCAGCGATTCGATAATTGATCACCCATCTTTCTAGAGACGGGGCGGTATGGGTGCCAAACGCGGTGATGTGTGAGGACAAAACCGCTAAATATACTCCCTCCAGATGTTTGAGTGTATACTCCTTGCTGGTGTTTGAGTGTTCGGGGCACGGCCTATTTTTGTCTTGATGATGGTTACCATTGTACGACTGGGCAGGTCTCCATCACAACATCAACGTCACAACACCACCTCCAAGCGCCGCAACAAAATTTAAGGGCACTCTCCAGACACGAAATCGATCTCCCTCTCTACTTTGCGACGCCTTCGCTCTGCGGCGTCAACCACAAGAAGCTCCTCTCGGCGGCTCAACAGGCAGAAAGTGCGGCAGGAGCTGGAACATCTCTAACCGAGACCGACCACCGAAAAAAAGAAGAGTGTTCTTCAACAACCAGCGCGCAAAACGGCGTTTCAAGTATCCTTTCGCACCCGTCCACGTCGTCGTCGTCGTAGCCGGGGAGAGGGTCTTCGAAATCCTTGTCCTCGCTGTGCTCCATGGCCCAGTCCAAGGCCGCATTAAAGCTTTTGTTCTTGGTCTTGAGGGCGGCGCGACGTGCTCCCTAGCAACGCGCGTGGGTACAGCGTTTCACATAGGGCTTTACGTTAACAAAGATTTGTTTTGAGAGAGAGACACGCTCGCCGAGGTTTCAACGCAGGATGGATGCATGTTCGGTGGTGTTTTTTACCGGAATATGGGTGTAAGTCTGCCATCGTCCATCGAAGGAACAACGGGAAGGATAAAATCACTTTGAGCGAGAGGCACCGCACCGATGTATTACAGCAGTTGTGTGAATTGATGATAAAACTCGTTGACGTGGCAGCACCACGGCCTCGCCGCATCAGACATTTCTCTCCCAGAATCTCCCAGATCTCCCCGAGTCTTGGTCAGCGAAGTTTGTGTCTGTCGGAGAGACGGTTAGCTTGGACGCTCAGGCCATACTGGTGCTGCACAGAAGCATGACAACGGCAACAAAAAACACAACAATCGCGTTTGGGAAGGCTTCCGTAACACGCGTCCTTCCGCGTACCGCGCTTCCGCCCACCGGAGACGCACTATTCCATGTAAGTCGTAAAGCATGAGGGTTGTTACGAGCGATACAGGCCCAACAGCCAAGAGTCGAGAGTGCACCGTGGACGCAAGGCACACATATGACACCGAAGTTGGGGCAGGGAGCGAGAACGCACATTTTCTGAGAAGGACATGTCGAGCAGGCCTTTCACGATCTCTGGGTCAGGCTGCATCCTCCCTTCCTTCTCCTGCTTCTTAAGCCGGGCGCGTTCCTTCGCCAGCCTGCGAAACGAAAAAGGAGAGTATACAGCAGCGAAAAGGGTGCACAACAGCGAAAATGAGGGTACCTCAGCCATGTTGGCAACGGCGAAAGACCTACCTAGTCTATGCAAGGGCGAGGGGCGGGGTTGGGACTGATATGTGCGAGTGTGTCTTGAGCTATTGACAGAATCGATCGCGACAACCGGCTGACCAATGAAAAGACGTCGGCCATATCACAGGATAAAAAATAAAAAAGACTTCGCGGGTGTTGTTCGCCCGTTAGATGCAAGATCGAAATCTACACACACAGCTTCAGCACTGCAATACCCCTGTACTGCTGCAAGACATCGTATGATAGTACTGCCGAATGATGGTGCTATATGTCATGAAATCATACCTAGCCTTTTCGTTTTCGCGATCCTGCTCCCGCTCTGCCTCGTACTTGTCGCCTCCGAGGTCCTTGGGGTCCACGGCGTACAGCCCATGCCGCAGCTCCGGCGTCATGTAGATAGCCTATGTACACAGCAGTAGCAAGGTATCATTGCCAGTCGTGTAGATTACCCATCTTCAGGGTTAGGCTGCGATTCGATACGTTCGCACAGATTCTCCACACGCCCCCATGCCAGTACTAGACTCTAGACACAATATGAACACCAGTAAGGCGGAAGCCTGTGAAAACGCTCAAACTTGATACTCGGGCGGTGGGTGGGTCTCTCATGACAGACGGTACTACTTCAAGTAGAAAACTTAGTCCTTGCCGCCATACGTTTTGCATCCATGTCTTCCGGTATAAGGGGAGCGGTTGCGGCGCATCCTTTTACGGTTTGTTTGCGGATTTATCAAGTTCAGGTATCACCGCCCAGGCGCATGCATCGTAGGCTATGTGTCAATCTCGGCGCGGGAGCTCCTTGTTTATCAACACGGGACTACAATACTACCGCCGTAGGTGCAGTCTAGACCATGCCTGGTGGTGCTTTTGACAGTCCGTCTCTACTGCTGAAGCCTGGGAGGCGCACTGGCGTCCTGGTACATGCTAAACTCCTCCAGTCACATGAGTCTCGAGAGAGCAAGTGCGCATGCTTCTCACACTCCGCTCAACGTTGATCAAGCCGTCAGATCACATGCCGCGGTCTCCACATGGCAGAGAAAATGCTAGCGACGGACAAACTTCAACGGCGGTGGTTGGAGAATATACGCAGTTTTGTTGATGCGTCTGGCAAACCCCGTTCTGCTCGTGCTTACATAGTCCGCGTGTAAACCATACGCCGTTCATGATGTATTTCATCCATATTTCTGTTTCGAAATCTGCTCGCGCACGAAGCGGCACATCGATAACAAAAGAGCTACAAGCAACGACATACAACACTACACTGTAACACTGTACGCTGTCGTACTGTAGGTAACACCAGGTGCACGGGTTCACAACAGCATGCAAAAGACGGAACAACGCGAAAGAGTCTACTGCACGCACCTGTAGGAGAGCGTTGAGGTAGCACGTGGCTCCCTGGTTGTCAAGCCCGACGAAACCACTCTCCGCGCGGCCTAGCGCCTCCTCATCCCCCTGTCAAGCAAAGGGGGAGGGGGACAGGACAGAGAACGTTTACGTTCAGCAAGAGCGAGGTTTTCTCCATGACATGCACACATTCGAGGCCAGAGGGAAGACAGAGCGAAAACACGGCCTCCGAGTAAGCAGCACATACACCAAAAAGACAATCACATAGAGCAAGCGGCAGAGCAGGATCAAATGGGTGTGGTGAGGACCCAAACGTCCGCTTGAACCTCCGGTTGAGTGCTGTGTGTGTGTCTATTGCAGGTGTCCCACCCACTAGCCCACATCGTATCTCTCTCGCTCTCGTTCTGCAGGAACAAAACATGCACATAGTTGGATATCCGACACCCCTGTGGGCCACGCGCAATCCAAGAGAGCAGGGAAAGGCTTTCACCTGCTGGACGGTAGGGCCGCTGCTGTCATCGATTTCCTCGAACATGTTTTTGAAGGCTCCAAGATGCGCCATCCTTTGCCGGCAACAATGAAGTGCCTCTCGTTGTCTCGCCGCAAACCAGCCACCTATCCTCCGGCCTGCCAAGCCGCGAAAATCTGAACTCTGTCTCCGAGCCAAGTGCCCGCACTGAGAACTTGGCTACGCTCAGCTTTCGAATAAAAAAATGCTCTGAAGGCACCGACGCAAGAGACTGGCGGTCCGGACGCCGCACTGCTCTGCTCACCGTGGGCTTCGCAGTGGGCAGTGGGAGCAATATACCAGGGGGGGGTCGCAAAATCGGCGTATCTATGTGCGGCATACCACCCACATTTTTAAAAATCGGATTGTGCGGTCAGCGGTCAGCACATTCCTCAACAGCACATCCACAGCTGCATCATCCATCATGCTTTCACGGGCTCATACGAGACTCGCATGGTACCCAGTAGGTATCCCACAAGCCTCACCGCAACTATTTCAACACATTCCTTCGAATGGGTTGGTATCTCGAGCTTTGCTGATGGTAACTTTGTTGGTTCATAACAGCACGCAACAAGAGTTAGACTATACGGTGACGGTTTCAGTTCGCCGACGAGACATGGGCACGCACGATTATACAACGTCCGACAGCGACGACTCTATGACACAATATCCGTTTGCCTCGAACGCAGACCATTGTTGTGCGTGTAGTCCTTAGTGACAGTACGTGTCAAAACTCGGGGGTCCGGGATCGAGTGGAAAACGGAACGGTACACAAGAAGGAGTCGAAACATTGATCGTCTAACGCGCTGTGCAGGTCGAGTACAGAGGTGAGCATGATCCGGGAACCTTTCCACAATTATTAATCACAAACGACGCTGTCTCCCACAGTGGACAAACATCAGCATCGCTGTCCCGCATGCTGAAGGAAGACCCAGGCTTCTGGCATGATTCCCCTGAGAAATGCCTGTGTGTTGACAAGAGCGCGATAGCTTTTTCACCTCAGCTGGCTGCCATCCGTCGCAATTCACTATCCATGATTGATCCCGGATCGGCGGGGTACGCAGCCCGATTAGTGTACAGCAGTCTGTCTTGTCGATATGGATACCGACCTCCAGCAACGCTCCTATCTCTCAAGCCCGTTTGAAAGCTGCATGTGGTACTTTAGCAGTCTCGTGTGTTGTCGAGCCCACAATACTGCTGGTCGACCCGTCGATCGCCGTGTTGCGTTGCTAGTTGCCGAAATCACACAACTTTCTTAGTCCATCCAAACCAAAGGCTACAGCATCAGCTTTGCACAGCACACTTTCGACAGTACTCCGCAACTTCCTTTTCCTTGCAGCACGACCTAGCGGAACTCTGAGCACCAACATTGTACTCATCATGTTAACCAAACTGAAGACCGCATCCCGTACAACCACCTAAACTCTTTCTTCCCTTGATCTTCAGCAAGATCTCATCTTAGCATGAGCGACAACAGAGACACCGACGAAGAACAGGCGCCTCCAGAGCCAGAGACAGGAGAAGGGAAGTTCGTGTTTCCGAACGGCGCGGTGTATGGTAAGAAGTGGACAACGGCACTGGCACTCACTCGTGGCATGACTGACTCACGGCATCACATTTATTCCGCTTGATACCCGATGAAATATGACGTCGACGGCTCCCTCAGAGCAAACGTGAAGAACTAAAAAAAATCATGTGCAAAAATCTCCGCGTTCCATCGAGACGCAACCAATCGTAGCTTCTAGAACGCAAGCCTGTCAACAGCCTCTACCAAACTAGATATATTCCGCAGCCCTTGCAAGCCTTACATCTACTGTCACTTAAGTTTGCCTTCGGTAGTGTCTGCTTGGTACAAATTGGCCTACATATATACGTGCATGTCGTCTACATGTTTTTGGGAGGAAAAGTATCAACTATTAATGCATCCCTCCGTATGTCAGAGGTACTCGCCGCGCCACTTTCTTTGCCTCGTTGCCATTGTCAGGTGCTTCCTCAGCATTGCCGATTTTGGTCTCTACGACGTACCTCTACCCCTTGCGGACATAAACCAGCCAGGGAGAGTTCACATTCATGAATCCAAGGACGTATGTACGCACTATGTAGATTAAAATGGGCGTGACATTGAATTGCTCCATTTACTCGTTCGGGGCAACCTTGTTGAGGAAGCGTGACAAGCGGGGCATGCATGAGATATGCTACCGTTTAAGCAATAATTATCGTTATCTTGCTTACAGAGGGACAATACATCGTGATCGACGGCGTCAAGAAGCGTAATGGCTTTGGCACGCACACAAATGGAAAGGACAAATACATCGGAGAGTGGCAGCTCGACTCAATGCACGGTCAAGGTAACAACACAATCGTCTACGGCCAACAATAATAGTGGTAATTGTGTAGGCTATTGCAGCGTACAAAAAGCAACGATCTGTTGTTGTCCAGAAAAAGAAGGACTCAGACATGTCACATGCCTAAAGAGCTGCAGCCTAGATCTTGTGCGCTGGTCCAATCCAACAGAGTCATGGTTCCCTTCCTTCTTGTACGGGCGGGCATCCGGCCAATGATGTAGAGAATCAGAATTACGCTCTAGTCTCGCATAGCTTTCTGCGGGCCGCTGACCCGGGTTACGGTACATACTCCAGCGTATCGTCACAGGACTGGGTATTTCTCCATCAAACAATATCGTCGAAGACCCGCACCACACTACTGTACATGCTGTTTCAAGGGAAACGGTCTCTTATGTAACCTTTCCCCCCAAGGCAATAGGAAAAATCCGGCGCGACCTTCCACCCGTGTTTCTCCAGCTGGTGCGTACACATACTACCTGAGGAGTTGTAGACTGTGTAGAAAACATGGAATGACAACGGACACCGTCTCCTCGCCCACCCCTATCCATCACAGGAAAGAGCTTCAGGCTCTGTGTGGTTGAATACATTCCACATGAACCAGGAGCGACTCTGCAGTAGACTATACAACACTACAAAGAGCTGAACAGTTGATATAGACTATCTCCTGCATTCGTACGATACGTTCATATTCTTGATGAGGCACTTCATTTGCTACCAAAACTAACGAAACTGCCCCACGGTGTCGTTCAGGCGAGATGATATTTTCCTCAGACGCCAGCTACAGGGGCTCTTTCGCAGGCAACAAGTTCCACGGTGAAGGGCGGTACGAGTGGAACGATGGCGCCACCTATGAGGGTGGCTGGAGAGAGAACAAGTAAGGCCGCTCTCCACCGCTACAGAAAACTTCACATTTGGCCGCACGTTAGCCTATGTTGATAATGCCGTCGATTGGCGAAACTATTGAAGGAAACTACTGTATTCGACCACCCTACTAAAGTACTGGTATGTGTTCACAACAGCACTGTCGATTGGCGAAAGAGTTGAATGACATTCCCATTCCTTGCCCAACTACGTCGAGTGAGCAGGATGCATGGGAAGGGGTGTTACTCGGACAGCGAAAAGAGCCGTTGGGAGGGAGACTTTTTCAACGGGATGTGCGACAATGGTCGCGCGAAGGTGGCTCTTCGCTGAGCGACAA